CTGAGCAAGTACTGTGACACCTGAGCAGTTAACAATGCAACTTTCATATACCTTCAGTTGAAACTGCTTTGCTTTTGTGTATCTTCCTACCTCTTCTAAAACATGGTGCCCTATAAAACACCTACATGGATATGAGGTGTAGGGGAAGAGGAGGACAGCCTTTGCAGCCTTACTTCTGTGCCATGACAGGTAACACATACAGTTTTCCTGGGCATGAGCAGACGACAGTCTTCATAGTGCCACAATAAATCTGATCCTGCTTCTGGGGGCATCTGCAGCTGGACTGGTCTTTAAATCTACAGAATAGGCCTATTCCTCTTCAGCAAAGGATGTAGACAGCATTATCAGGCTTTCATGTTAAAAAAACACCTCAGCCTCTAAGAACAGAAAATCGAAAATACTTGACTTGTTGTTTTTCCAAAATAAATGGTTTCTCATCACCAAAAGCCCTGAAAATTTCTGAAAAGCCCTGAAAATTGTTATCTGAAACAGTTTTGGTAATGTACAGGCTGGCTGTCTACTAAGAACTTGTTGTCTAGGCTGTTTATATCATTAAAGAGAGCTCCCTCTGTAAGGTGATTAATTCTAGCCTGAGGTAGAGTAACTTAAAAGTCTGCCACCCTCTGCAAATACCTCTATCCCTTGACTATAGAGGAAACCCTTAGATTAGCTAGCTGACTGCCAGCTAAGGGTGGGAGAGACAATTCCTACAGCCTATAACATTCAGTTTGAAGGAGCTGGGAATGAATTACCTACTAACAGACCTTGCAAAGTCTTAATGTGGGCTCCTCCTTGTGCTCAATCAAAGTTGCCACATGTTCACCCCTCTGAGCTTGAGGACAGTCAGCAAAATGCGTGCTGAGGGCTGCTGTGGATAAGAGTGCTCAGGAGGAGTCTACATACAGGTCTTGTTAAGATGTTGAACTCCTTTTTTAACAGAAAACATCTACTTCATTTATTTTCATCATGAAAGGGCAGGTTGAAGCACACCAGAGGAATGGGAAGCAACTCCATTGGTATGCACGTTCCCTCTTCATGCTGTCCTGCTTTGCTTAAAGTTCTTAAACATGCTTTGACACAGGGACTGAGGTCAGCATTTCTCCTTCAATGTGGAAAGCCTAGAATATGAGACGAACTGCAAAGCCATCACTTAGCTATGGTCTTAGTGGCATATAGCTGAGGTCCAGTCATTTCCATTCAGGCAGTCTGGTTGGTAATTTTACCATTATTTTTGCCATCAATGATCTTTTTCTAACTACCCCTTTCCCTCAACAGGAAAAGAGATTTCTTCAAGAAATAAGGAAAATTATTTTAGTGCCCTCTGCGTATCTCCACACCTTGACTTCAGTATCCACATAACATTTTAAATTTAAGGCAACAGTATTATTGTTATTATCTTACATTCAGTAGTTGATGGAGTAATAGTAGCACATCACGATTCAGTTTTCTCAGTGGTAGTGTTGTGACAGCTTGTAGAAAGCCCCAGCTGAATAAGACAGTTTTGTTGCAGAACTTTTTTGTTCCTTTTTGATTTTTCTCTTTGGTACAGTCAAGCAGTACAGATTTTCAATTGATTAGCATGGTGAAGTATCTGTACTCTTTTCTTACTGTACTTTCTAATTTTATATGGACATAGAGAACCTAAACAGCACTCTAATTTTATACAGCAAGCAATCTTCACCTGGTAATGTCTTTGACTTTGGAAGGCTTTTCTCCTACTGCTTCCTCTACTTCTGTCTCCTAGGCAGTTATATGGATTAGCTAATGTTTATAATGCCCATTAAAACCATACGGGAAAAATACTAAGAGTAAATTCATAGAAATTAACTCTGAGAGATCTCTCCAGAGATCATCTAGTCCTTTCCCAATTGTTTCTTGTAGGTCATGCTTTCTAGACCAATGAACATAATTTCTTTCCCCTGGATTTCTTCAGAGTCTCAACATATCTGAAAAAGACATTTTCAGGGGGCTCTATTCTCCTTTGTAACAGGCTCTATCTTCCATAAAACAATAATAATTTAGCTACAATTCAAAATTTAGTCACAGTTGCCTAAAATTAAGTGTCTAATATGAAAGGTTTTTTTTCTTTTGAATGTTTCTCTTTTTTTTCCCCTGTATTTTAGTCTTGATCAGACTTCCTGAAGTAGCTTCAGATTATTTGGATTGCCATTTCAGAAATAAACCATTCCTGATTTTCAAAAGTCAGAGCAATTTGAGCTCAGGCAGCCTGAAAATACTGTCCATTTGTCTTCAATTAAATCACCCAGATTGGAGGCACAAAGAATTAAAATTCTTTCAAAACAATGTGTGCAAAACTGTTCTTTTTTTCTCAAAATAGAATAGAGTTGTCAGTCAGGAGTCACCACCACAAGCAACCATCAAACTCACTATGCCAGACTCAAGACTGTTGCTTACCTCACAGATCGTGAAAATAGTACATAGGTCTTCCAAGGTAGACTTCTTCTTTAATCTTCCCTAGAAGTGGTCTGGAGCTTGGTTACTTCAGAAAGTACCTGAGCAAGGCAGAAGGAAGCCCCAGCTTCACCAGACAGGGAGAGAAGAGGTCAAGGATTACTTCTGGTACTCCCAGACAATTATACCCATGGTAGACCGTGGCCAATGGATTCCAAAGGAGTTCCACTTCCAAGAGCTGAGATAAGCCCCTTTTCCAGGTGCCCACCCCTCTTTTTCATGGGACAGCAAAAATGAAGTGCCTTAGGCAAGATTTTTGATCCTGCAAGCCAAGTAATTCTTTACCAGGCACAGTGGTTCACAAAAGATTAAACGTGCAAACAAGACTTCTGAACCAGCAGCCTGTACATTGAGTAGGAAGAGATGTCCTGAGTGGCAAAATTCAGAGCTTTTCAAATTCAGACAGAAACACGAAGGGAGATGGTATAGAAAGAAAATGTGGTTTGTCTTTCGCTGTTATTCACTCTGTCCCTGTAGGGAAGGCACTTTCTGCTCAGGCTTGAAAGTTTTCAATGGTTTGCTGTCTATACTTACAGCAAAATCTAGGCAGCCCCTTCCAGATCAACAGGAAACATTTTTGTGCTTTCAGCCATCAGACTCCTCTTCCTAAAGCCTTGCTTAGGTGCTCTTTCTGAAACAGCTTTGTGAGTCTCTTTTGTACTCCCTGGAACATGTGTGGTCAGGTTATGTATCCCTGGTTTTATTGAAACTCCACATAGATTTTTTTTTCTTAGCAAATGACGGCAAAATCCAGCTATAATTGTAGCACAAGCCAGTCTTACAACTTTTCAAGAATACTGTAGGAAAACACTCTGAAGTCTTAGAATAGTCAATAACTGTTGCCAAAAGCCTACAAATTGGAAAAATGCAGCTTTTCTATAAAATTGGAAAAGACTCCATAGGGAACAGAGAAGTGGCCATATTATTCATCACTTCTGGTTTATAATGATCTATGGGACACAGTCCTGAGAGAATTAGCTGATGCAGTTGCCAAGCCATTCTCCATGACATTTGAAAATTCATGGCAACAGGGGAAGTCCCAGGTGACTGGAAAAAGGGAAACATTGTACCCATCTTTAGAAAGGGTAGAAAGGAGGACCCTGGTGACTACCTACCTGTCAGACTTACCTCTGTGCCTGGGAAGGTCACAGATACCAGATCCTCCTGGCAGCTATGCTAAGGTAAGGTACAGGGAGGTGATTCAGGACAGCCAGCACGGCTTCACCAAGGGCAAATCCTGCCTGACCAACTCAGTGGCCTTCTATTCTGGAGTAACTACAACAGTGGACAAGGGAAGGGTTACAGATGTCATGTATCTGTACTTCTGAAAAGTCTTTGACACTGTCCCCCACAACATCCTTCTCTCTAAATTGAAGAGAGATGGATTCAATGGGTAAACTCCTAGATGGATTAGAAAATGGTTGGACGGTCCCATCTGGAGGGTAGTAGTCAATGGCTCAGAGTCCCAATGGACATCAGTGATGAGTGGTGTCACTCAGGGTTCATATTGGGAGCAGCACTATTTAATATCTTCATTAATTATGTAGACAAAGGAATTGAGTGCACCCCCACCAAATCTGCAGATAATACCAAGCTGAGCAGTGCAGTTGACACACCTGAAGGATGGGATGCCATCCAGAAGGACTTGGACAAGGTCGAGAAATGGGCCCATAGGAATCTCTTGAGGATTAACAAGACCAAGTGCAAGGTGTTGCACTTGGGTTTGGGCAACCCCCGGTATCAGTACAGGCTGGTGGATGAACAGATTGAGAGCAGCCCTGCTGAGAAGGATTTGGGGGTGCTGGTGGATGAAAGGCTGGACATGACCCAGCCACGTGTGCTCACTGCCAGAAAACCAAGTGTGCCCTGGGCTGCACCAAAAGCAGCGTGGCCAGAAGGGCGAGGGAGGTGATTCTGCCCCTTTACTCCAATCTGGTGAGCCCCCACCTGGAACTCTGCATCCGGCTCTGGGCTCCCCAGCACAGGAAAGACATGGACCTGTTGGAGCGAGTGCAGAGGAGGGCCACCAAGATGCTTAGAGGGATGGAGCACCTTTCCTATGAGGAAAAGCTGAGGGAATTATGTTTGTTCAACCTGGAAAAGAGAAGGCTTTGGAGTGACCTAATTGTGGTCTTCCAGTACCTGAAGGGAGCCTAAAAGAAAGATGGAAAGAAATTATTTACAAGGGCAGGTAGTGGGAGGACGAGGGGCAATGGCTTTAAACTGACACTAAGTTTAGATTAGAAGTGTCTAGAGCAGATAGAAATACTTATTATCCTGAGAATGTGATTTTATTGAATTTAACCAGCCAGTCTTACCCTTGTAGAGATGCAGTAGTTTGGATACTGACTGCTCCAGTTCCATCTGGAGTAGAACAAGTAGACACCCATGAAGTCTTCATCCCTCAGTTCTTATCTCAGCCTGGAAACTGAGCTCTTTCAGAAAAGAAGAACGCGACCCTTGATTCCTGTAATAATGTTTTGCAATAGATCACACAGGAAGTGCTGTTTCCTATTTTCAGATATAGGGTTTAAGTATGTGTTTGTTCACAAAGGAGAAGAAGACACGGTCAGACAAAACCAGCTTGATAAATCAGTGAGTAGCTAATTTTTTTTCCTTATTTTTACATCTTAATGTGTATGTATACATACAGATTCATTGTGTGGGGAAGTATAGGTGCCTAATGACAGTAGTAGTAGAGCTAATGCTACCTGTAAAAACAATCGGGTCTTGTAACTAGTTTGCAGTGTGGATAAGGCTAAATATGAAAGTAGAGAATTGAACTGGACAAGTGTTGTAGAAAATAATCTTTTTTTCTACTGAAACTTACAGGGTCTTGGTTTCAAAGCTGTTCCAGGAGGTCAATAGCTTGCAGATGTATTCTGCTAAGGATAGAAACTTGTCAGACATTAAATCCTGCACACTTAATCTAATCTTTCCATATCTAAGTCGTATCTTGCCCTATCAGATGCAAATGTCAGATGTTCTTCATCACTGTCCTATCACATGGTTTCTCTATATTATTCAAGCATTTAATCTGTTAAAGGAACTGTTTCACTGTCATGTTTTAAAAGGATATGCTCTTTGCGATTGAGTCCTCTTTTTAATGTGATGTCTCTGAGTCACCACATTAGAAAGCCTGTATTCCATATCCCAGCTAAAGATATTGGTTTTATGCCCAGTCATGATCTGGATTGCAATTTTTGTTAATGAGGTTTTACATGAATAAAAATAATCAGTACTACACTGGAATTGTACTACTCACACACAAGGAAAGGTGAGCTCCTTGTCATTTGCCTGGAACGGTTGGCAGTGTCAGAGCAGTGAGCTTGAAGCCCTTACAGCAATAACAGGGCATCACATGATCCTATGCCATATCTTGGCAACTTCCACTCCAGATTATTAACTTTCTTTTTTGTACTTGAGTTCATTCCCAGAATGATTGTGACTATGACTGTTGTTTGAATTGCTCTGAATTCAATGTTTTATCTGAGGCACTGTAAGCAAAGACACTGAAAAAAAAAACAAAAAACAAAAATCCAAAGCACAACAAAAGCCCCTGAACAGACATACTAGCCCAGAACTTAGCCTACACAAGAGAAGAGCACACTTATACATATACTCATGATTTGGAGGAAGACCTTTAATATCTGTCTTGAGTTTCTCATTCTCAGAATGCTTATTTTCAGTACTTACACTATTCTTTTACTGTACATTTGTTTGGGTAAGAACGTATTCCTACTTCTCTTTTCTTGGGACCACATAGACTCACTCTATTTAACTTCAGAAAAGCTCAGAATTTTTGCAGGACTGTCTCTCTGGTTTTGATGGGGAATGGAAAGAATAGGATCCTGAGGGCTCACAGAGAATTAAGCCTATTTTTTCCAGCCCAGAAGACATTTTTCCTTGAAAGTTCTACAAGGTTGAAAAAACCTCATCAGTTAGGAGGCAAGCAATTCTGAATGTTTCTAATGCTCAGCTGTTATAAAAGAGGAAGAGGTTTTCCAAGCAAGGTTTAATTTTGGAAAGGGCTCTTTCCCTAGTCAAATCATAGAAAGAAATCCTTTGGCCACTACCACATGAAAAGATGTGTTTGAAGGAAACTATCAGTTCAGAGACTTACATGGAGCATTTAGTTTACACTTCCATCTTTTTTCTTCACCTTTTTTGCTAACAAGAAATGTTCCTACTTCTATGCTTGCTCTCCAAGAAAGTGCAGGTGTCTGTGCATAGTTTTCTCTGTAGTTTTTCTCCTCCTGGAAAGTCAAAGTTAAAGAGATAGAACTGTTAGTGGGAAACACTGGCTACTCCTCTTGCAACACCTGCTATCAGAATATGGGGTATTATTTTTTGTTATTTGAGTATCAGTTTTACTCTGTGCTACATTGTACATCTCTCTATAAAGTGCCCTAGAAGCTGCTGACACACTTTTAAGCCGACTACAAGTCATTAAGCAGTTTCTTTTTCTGTATGACAAGCACTGGCATTTGTAAAAGGAGGAGAGTGAGGGCAGGGGCAGTAGCACTGTGTTATCTGCTCATGCATTTCAAAAGAGAAGTCTTGTCTTAGACTGTAACAAGGGAAAGGGAACTTTTGGGGTCATTGAATTTTGAGCTAAGCAGCTCCATTAATGCACAGGCACTCTTCTAACTAGTTATTACTTATTCTGATTTCTGTGAGGAAACTTTGCCCAAATCCCCTTTAGGGCACTGCAGACTCATTGAGCTGTGACAACTGTCATACCTTTTCAAGGGCTACAGCTTCTGCAGATGATGTTCCTTTCTGCATGAAAATGAAAACTGGAAAAATGGTTAAAGATAAATTAAAAAAAAAAAAGTCATAGAATCATAGAACCATAAAATCAGCCAGGTTGGAAAAGACCTCCGAGATCATGAGGTCAAATGCAAACAAGTAGCTTCCAGTAGAATTTTTTTAGCCAGGTCAGTTTTCTAGAGTTCTTTGTGATTAACATTGCCTGCATGCAAAGGAGAAGGAATTTTTTATAAATCATTTCAGAAAATATTTTTAATATTTTGTGCTTGTTGTGAAGAGGAGTATCTGGCTTCTCACCCATGCAAATGCTCATAGTTTTCCCAACAGGTCAGAGATAGTAAACAAAACAGTTACAGTACATGTTGTCTTTCTAGCCGGCATGAGTGTGAATTGTATAGGGCAGGAGCTCAGTTTTGGTAGTGGGAAGGTGAACTTGATCTGATTGGGATGGACTTACTTTTCTTCACAGCAGCCCTTATGGTGATGTCTTTTAGATTTGCAACCACAGCTGGAACAAGTGACCCAAACTGACCAAAAGGATCATATTCAGCAAAAAACAAGAGGAAGTTTTTCCAAAGTAGGCATTGCTCAGAGACTGGCTGGCCACCCATCTGCTTATTAGTAGGTGACAAGCATTTGTCCTTGTATCATCTCTTGTGGTCTTTTTCAGTTTCATTTTCTTATTCAACTGTCTTTATCTTAGCCTGCAAGTTTATCTTGCTTCAGCACTTCTGATTCTTTCCCCCATCCTGCTGTCAGGGGATGTGAGTGGGTGACTCGATAGGGGCTTAGCTGCTGGCTGGGGTCAACCCCTCACAGGACATGAGACTTGGACTGTAAAGGAGACAAATCTGTAGGGAATCAGTTAACTTTAGTTCTGCTGCTCCCACAATTATTTTCTGCTGGTGTTACAACTCAGAATAAGTTCCAAACTAAAAAGAAAAAAATTAATTATTTTCTTTGTATACAAATACAAAGATTCAACAAGGCTAAGTGTGCCAGGGGAGATTTATATCGAATACTAGGAAAGATTTCTTCACTGAAAGGGATATCAAGCATTGGAACAGGGTTGAGTCACCATCCCTGGAGATATTTAAAAGATGTGTAGATGTGGTGCTTAGGTACATGGTGGACTTGACACTGTCATGTTAATGGTTGGACTCAATGATATTAGAGGCCTTTTCTAATCTAAATTATTCTGTGATTCTACAATATTGCAATTCCATATGTATGAGTGTACATACGTGAATGTTTACTTGTGCATATACGCACAGAGAAAATTGTTTTAACTCTGTGTAACCAACAAAATTTATTCAAGAAGATTATTTGCATTATATATATCCACTGAGATAAAAATCCAGATCAAAACTAAGTCCTCAGGATCCTGAATGGTCTGTAATTACATATCAGGAAATAAGCTTTTGCTCAAACTGCTGAGTAGGTTGACATGAGCTTAAGACACTTTAGAAATTTCACATGCTACAGCTCAGAATGGCCCACCATGTAATTGAATTGACTATTTACCAAAAAGCAGACCAGAGGCCTGTCTCTGTGTCATTCCAGCCACAGGCTGAGTTTCTTCAGTTACATTTAGTCTTGCAGAACTTGGGTGCAGAGAGAATGAAGTCGTGGTTTTGAGAGTGTGGTGTCTGTAAAAGACATCTGCAATCACACAGGGTAGACCACACCATTGAAAAATTGCATTCAGGAAAGAAGCAAACACTGCTGTGGGACATGAGTGGTCAGGGGTCATACAGCAAGCTGGGGCAGGGGCCCTGCCTGGTTTTCTGTGTCAGGAGCAGTCTGTTGCCTTTGTCTAAGAACAGGCATCAAATTGACAGGAAGGTCTCATTTCAAAACCATCAGCCTGCCATGGGCAGTCACCATTCTGCCATGAAGTGCCTGAGAAAAGCAGTCATGATGGTACAGCAAGAAAGAGCAGCCCTTTAACCAGACAGCAAGTAGCTCTATTTGAGTGGCTACCAAAAGCATTGATTTCACTTCCCCACTAAGTGACCAGGGAGCACATTTGGCCGCTCTGACACTCATCTTCACAAAATCCACTTCCCAGCTTCTCATGGGACACACGGGAATTCTTCCATGTTCTCTGGAGGTCTGTGGGAAGACTGTTCTCCTCAACTTTTTGGAGCCCAAGTTACATGAAGCTAGCTATTCTTCTGCACCTGGCTCTCAGTCCTACTTGGGACTCGGTAAAGGGGAAGACTTTAGTGACTGGAGGGGCTCCCACTGTAACAGAACTGGCCTGGGGGCTTTCAGAGCTCTGTTGCACACTCACCTCCCAGGCTCTGGCTCCTTCTTGCAAGGGAAGCTCAGTCCCTACAACAGTTCCCAAACCAAAACTGAAGGGACAGAGACGTCGCACAACCCTTGCACTTCCTCAGTGTCACCTCACTGGAAACACTGAATAACAAAGGGTGAAGAACAACATAAGAACTGTAGTGCACACACATAGCAATGTCCCTATGTGCCTTTCGCCTTTGTGCCTCCTCCAAGACACTCAGCCAAGTCTTAACTTCGCAGCTCCTGAATCACGCCTGTAAACAGCTACTGAAACAAGGAATCAAAACTCCTTACATCCCCAAGCAGCACTGGGGAGGTCTTTCAACTGACAGTAAGATGCCACAACAGACACAGGTGTCAGAGGTCATCCTGACAGCAACTCTCATCTTCTGTGCCATTTGCCAATGTGTTTGTCTCTCTGTTCCCTCTACAGGACTGTGCACCGTTTTCATTCCAAAGCGACCTGAAACCAACACGCTGCCATTGCCTATGCCTGGCACAGGCTCTCTAAAGGACACAGTGTTTGCCATTTTAACCCAGACCAACGCTGCTGAGTTCCCGCTCTGCAACACCCAGGACAGCAGGTCCACTAGGCAGGTATGTTTAGTATTTTCCAGTGTCCTGTTTCCCATAGGCATTAAGGCTCCCAGGTCACAAGCAACCTAAAAAACTGCCATCAGCTGTTTTTCACCCATGTCACAGTGCCTTTGCAGGCACCATTTACACCTGGACAGTGCCTGGTCCTCCTTGGGTGAGGAGTACGGGATGGACTGGCACAGTGAGCAGGTGGCCATGTCCCAAGGAGAAGCACAACTATGCTCTGTGTGCCAGATACTGTACTTTCCTGTGGCTGCCTTCCTGGCTTTCTACACTCCATTGGAAAGCCACTGGTGAGCACAACAGCCCCAAACTACCCATGACTCATCTTTCCTCTGCTTCTGGTTGAGCCAGGCTCTACTGAGAAGGAAAAAAGCACCAGGTAGTGTACATGTGGGAAGTGACACACAACACTTCCAACATGCAGCAATGTGATTTCACAGATGTATAGATGGGTTTCCTGGGAGCTCTTTCACACCTGAACATAGTAATGTTTGTGTCCTCACCAGCAACACATTCTAAATGAGAACATCAAAATGTTTCATTCTCCTCACTGCCAAGCTTGGAGATTCCTCTGGTTTACCATCCTTTTCTCCCTTTCCAGACCAAAACACCATGGGAAATGATACAACAGACTTCACCGACTTGCCATATACAACAGAATTTGACTATGGTGATTCGATACCATGCATGGGAACTGAGGAAAAGCACTTTGCAGCAAAACTTTTGCCACCACTTTATTCTTTAGTAGTGATATTTGGCCTGACAGGCAACATGCTTGTTATCCTTATCCTGGTAAAATATAAGAGGTTGAAGAGTATGACTGACATCTACCTGCTCAACTTGGCAGTTTCCGATCTGCTGTTTGTATTTTCTCTCCCTTTTTGGGCTTATTACGCAGTTCACGACTGGATTTTTGGGGAGGCACTGTGTCGAATTCTCTCAGGTGTCTACCTCCTTGGCTTCTACAGTGGCATCTTTTTCATAATCCTGTTGACTCTGGACAGGTACCTGGCCATAGTGCACGCGGTGTTTGCTTTAAAAGCCAGGACAGTTGCTTACGGCACCCTCACCAGCATCATCACCTGGGCTGTTGCTGTTTTAGCTTCTGTTCCTGGGGTAGTATTTCAAAAAACTCAGAAGGAGGGTTTACGTTATACTTGCAGTGCTCATTATCCAAGTGATTCCACAATAAATTGGAAGTACTCTTTTATTTTAAAGATGAACATTCTGGGACTTATTGTTCCAATGCTCATTATGATCTTCAGTTACTCACAAATTCTTAAAACATTATTGAGATCTAAGAGTGAGAAAAAACAGAAGGCAGTCAGACTTATTTTTGTGATCATGATCTTTTACTTCATCTTCTGGACACCATTCCATATTTCTTCTTTTTTGCATACATTTCAAGGTTCACTTTTCACTCCAAATTGTGATACCAAAGGCCAACTGGAGAAAGCAATCCAAGTGACAGAAACAATATCAATGATCCACTGCTGTATCAATCCTGTGATCTATGCATTTGTTGGAGAAAAATTTAGGAAATATCTTCATGCCTTTTTCCGAAAGTATGTTGCAGCTCACCTTTGCAAAAAGTGTCCAAGTCTTTATCAGGAAAAATTAGAAAGAGTCAGTTCCACGTTCACAGCATCCACTGCAGAGCACGACATCTCTACTGGACTGTAAAATTACATCAGAACATTAGTTAGTAAATGTTGGACCACTTGCTTTGCCTTAAGGACTGCTTGATGTTATTTAAGATCTTTATGTCGACCACTACTGAAAACTGTACGACCCTCAATTCTTGTGGTTAACTGTTCCCTGGGATTACAGCATTTTCCATTGTTAAACTAAGAGAATCAATGAGTTCTCCAGGAAATATTAATAGCATAGCTGTAGCACATCAAGATTTGAATGGTACCCAGAATAGTATGATTCTGTTTCTTTACCCGAGGGAAATACAATATTGCAAAGAGTAAGGAGTAATAGGTCATCTCACAAGATCCATTTCTGTTATGTGAACACTGTAAGATAAACACTGGGAGGAAGCTTTGGGGATTGATCTACCTGTTTAGTATTCAACATTAGTGAAGTACCTTTTGGAAGTGTCTGTATTCTTTCTGCAACATGGTCAAGCATTTGATAAGGAGAGGTTTTTAGTTTTCTTTGTTTTTCCCTCCTACTCCTTATTTTCCCCATGTGAATAAGGATGTTTAAATAAAAAGGAATTTAAGGATTAATATGAGTTATATCAAGATAATATCCCTCCTCTGATGGGAGAGTTGACTGACCTTTATCTTACTGGGACCATTTAACCCAAGGGTTTATCAGTTAGCTAATAGTGTAGCCATTTTTGAATATAATCCTCTCAACTACAGGCTAAGTTATAGTATTTTGATTTTAGTTTTTTAATTTTATGTCTGCCGTATCACTGTTCTGTTACTGACGTTTTCCAAAGTGGGCTGTTAATTAGCAACATTGTGATTTTTGTGGGTGAAATTTTTCATGTAACTGCATATGCCAACTGCATAACAAGACAATGATGCCAGCCTAAAAAACACAAGCTTGTTTCTGACAAACCATATCCTTCCAAGAAAAAAAACCACTTAACCAATAAAAGCACTTCAGCAAAGATCTACAAGGCCAGAATGAAAATTACCTCAGCATTTGCTATGCAAGATTCAGTATGAAAAAATATCATGAACATCTGAAGGATTTTGGAGACTATGAGCACAATACTGAGAGGAGGCCTTCCTAGTTCTGGACAGATAAATCAAGTGTGTAGAAGAAGAGTTTATGTGGCAACACATGACACAAGCGTGTCAGGTTAGGCTTCTGTATGAGAGAAACATGCTCTTCACACACACAGCAAGTTTGATGTTTGGGGATACACTTTTAGGAAGACAGTAGCCTTGGAACTACAAAAGCAGCCAACTCCAGAGGAGTCATACTTGCTCTGTCTTCCCAGGAGAAGAGTGCCTCTAGCCAACTGGTGCCTCAATTAGAACTGCATGGAGATTGAAGACTCAAGACCTTTATGCTCTATGTTGTCCTATGGCCATACACTTATTCCATTATTAGGAGTTTCCCTGTAAAAGAAAGTGCTGTTCTAGGGACATGGTGCTAACAACGAAGAGAAAGGAAGGGCATTAGCAGAGAGTTTCTTACTTCAAACTGTATGGAAGTGCAGGGGAGCACTCCTTATGCAAGTGAGCTGTCCTTCCCTTTTTCTCCCCATTTATTTCAAAGGGCACTGCTCATGCATGTAAGGACTTGCTTATGGAAATCTGAAGGGGCAAGTTCAACTAACTTCCAGCAAGGTAAGGGCACCAGAGGGGACTCCACACTACTTAACATCAGGCATGAGATGCAGATGTCTAAATTACAGCAAATCTCTTCAAGGTGCCTCAGTAGTCAGTAGAGAATAAGAAGTGCCTGGGGCAGAAGCAGACATAGGATTTAAATAGTCTCAGAGGAAGATTACCTGTCCAGCTGTAGAAGGACCTGGAAATGCCAGCCTCTTAATTTAGGTATCACATGCCTTAATCTAGGCGGTGCAGATACTCTTCCCCCTCTAGCGTTATAATGCCTAGGCATGTTTCTGTTAGTTGTTAGCTCTTATCCTATCAGTTGTTATTATCTGGCCCCTATCAGCTGTTGCTACCCGGCCACTACCTTGTGTGGTTTATAGCCACAGATAGACTAAACGAAAGACCAAAATCTACCCTCACAGTAAACTTTCTTGCTTGGAAATAATATTTTATTTTATTTTGTACTTCTTACTGAAACAAAGCAAAAGCACCTTTTCAATATTAAAGCATAAATTAGTTCAGTGTAATACAAACCCTGCTGTAACTGTGATATTACTACTGCTGTGTTCTATTTTAAATCATTATCTTTTCAGAATTAAGTCTCTTCCCGTTTTCATGTTAATGCAATGAAATTAATAAAATCTGTGTCTGGAAAATTGTATGTACTCTGTAGCCCATGTTCTCTTCTGTAAGCAAAAGAACATTGGTTCTGCTCTCAGAGCGGAGGTGGATAAAAGGGGCAGCCGTGGGCTTAAACACAGTACCACATTTCAAACCAAGCAAGCATAGAACTGCCTGCCCAGTCCAGAAGCTACTGTAGCTGACACACCTTTTATCCACCAGCAAGCTTGAGAAGAGTGAACTACAATCGCTTTGGGGAATGTCTGCAGCCACAGATTTTAGATGAGTGAAATTTGGAGAAAGAGGGTTGTGTGTGCTATAAATAAGGAAAGAGAAGGAATAAAAGAGGACAATAAAAGATGTTACTTTATTAATATTGGAATAAAGACAGGATTCTCCATAGACTTTCTGCAGCCAATTTCAGATCTTCTTGCACCGTGTAGAGTGACCCCAGCCAAGCCATGTGCCTGATCTCCCAAGTTCTATGTGTAAGGGACTTAAGCACTCAAAGTTCAGTATGAAAATATGCTGCTCTTTCACCATGTAATTCTCCCTGCTTCATCGTACCCATTCCTTTTTTCAGCCTATGATCCATACCTCCTCATATCCGCTGCGCACTCTCCTCATCTGTCCACCATGGGATAAGCCAAATTCTATACCCACTCCTGTTTTTCTCTGATTTTGATTTTATATTTTGTGCTGGCAGAAACACAAATAAACTAAACCTAAAGATTAGCTTATTATGAGATATGCAGGGCTCTAGATAGCTTTGTGGCAGTTTTTGAGTCTTAATTGGTCAGGTGTGGCTGCACCCTAATATAGTTACAGGCCAGGTAGCCTCAAATTAGCATACTGGTCACAGTGGGATGGAGCTACTCATGGGGAAGGTTAAATAAGATTCACAGTCCCTACGAAAGAGAACACAAGTCACCTTGGCAGAGAGGTTGTAGAAATTTTACATACTGGAGGAAAATACTCCGTAACTCAAGGTCTGCAGTGAAAAAACATTGAGATGAAGATACAATGTGTATGTGAGAGCTAGAGATGCAGGCAGATGTACAGAAACTGTGTGAGGAACTAGAGGTATGCTAAGAAAATGGCAAGGATTTGCCAATATGCCATGATTGTAACTACAGTAGAGAAGAAACTAACACAAGAAAGAACCACTGCAGTGTCTGTGAGGCATCTGAGCTGCTCTGGTGAGATATTGAGGAAACAAAAGCAAGCATTTGAGGTAGCGTGCAAGTAGCACCAGAACATCAAACAGATTCAAGACAAGACCTCTGTGAACTCCACAAGTAAATTGTTGCTTTACAGCAAATGTTGAACAGCTAGGTGGAAATTGTTGCAAGTTCAAACCTTTTGGAACTGAACTCCTGAAGAGGTAATGTGTTGAATGGGCTTCCAGCATGCTTATGAAAAGAATGTCTATGTGCCATGGACAAGTGCAAGTGCACAGCCCTGAAACCCATCACCCAGTTTCGTTTATGCACCGAACAGGACACAGTCTGACCTTCCTGTTAGGAGATGCTTCTGTCACGTCCAGAAACATATAGGGAGGAATGCCTCACACAGCAAAAGATAACTCTGCCAATGGTCAGGCAGACTTCCTAAGGGGCAAAAGGAAACGTAGCAAAAGTGCGTGTATGGTATTGGTGAGTGCTGATCAGTGCTCACAAGCAACCACCAGATTTATAATCACTACCACTGGTTTGTCTGTGATAAGTATATGATGTACAAACACAGATATAATAAAACTTCCGGTAACCAGTACATAGGGTTGTTCCTGCCATAAGACTTTCTTGTTTGTTAATCCAACTGTAACCTTATGTGTACATATTTTACATAAACGTAAATGGCATATAAGGGAAGAGCAGTAAATGAAAATGGATAAATGGGAAAAAGTAGCAGCAAAAAAATGAAAGAATGTCTTTATTAGCTCTAACAGAGGCTAATAAATCAATATAATAAAGTAATGGGAAAACCAGAGGCAAATACTTTAAGCAGAACATTCAAAGGTTTAGGTGAGTACGAGAGACTTTCAGCTCTGAAGCTCCAAAATAAATATTGCTCCTTCCAGTGAAAATTATAATGGGGATACATTCAGAGAACATGAGGACATATTTACATGATATCTTGTTGCAGTTAATGAGAAACAAAGAAACTGCCAGGAGAATAACATGATGCTGACCAGGTTAAACAGCACAACAGGTAGATACTGCTCATTTTGAAGTTTAATTTTGCTGCTGATTTTGACTGCTGATGCCTACTGGCCTTCTCCTAGTGCCTACTGTGGTTACTGTGGCCTTAGAAGCATTATTCAATAGTATAGTAATTAAAAAACATTAAGCTAACAGGGGAAACAAAAGCAAACTGGAAAATTCTGGTGCATTTAAAATATCAATAAGAACCAGGTCAAAAAAAAGGGGTGTAGGCATGTCTTTGTACCCATATTCTGGTGACATTTACTTATTAGGAACTGTACTTCATTCAAAAAAATGGAATGGTAGGGCAAAAAAAAGTGTTTTGTAAGTTTCTATAACTGCTAAGAGGTTTGTAAGTCTGGTGACAGTGAGAGCAATCTCAGTTTGAGTGTTTGAAGTCTGAAATGACTGATCATGGGAAGGTGGGACCCCAACTCTGAGGTGGAGCAGGGCAGCATTATGAGAAACACAGGTCAGTATGCAAAACTGCACAAACCTCCCAGCGACGCTCAGCTTTTCAGAACTGTCTACAAGATTATGCCAGTAGGATGCTGTCCTTACGACACGAAACACACAACCTATCCTGATACCAGACCTTTTGAATGGAATAGAAACCAAATGGGCAGAAGTAAAAGAGCCATTTGAACATAACTTTCAGGGTTGCTAATATAAGGTATGCACAATTACAGACTATATCTAATCTTTGGCACCCAAAAGTACTTTCTGGTTCCTGGGTTCTGGTGTTGTCGTGAATATGGTTTTTTTCACCTGGTGTGCAAGAAGCCAGTTCACACACAGAGTTAAGGTATTTGCTTCTTTCATATCTGCACAGAGATGGGTGCTAGGTGGTAAATCCACAAAGCTAGCACACTTTCAGTATGCCAGGTGCTCATTTTTATACATTTCGAACAATAAAAATGTGACATTTCCCATATAGGTAACAACTTAAAGCTGTAGTCCTTGCCTTAGCATTCTCTCAACTCCATTTAAAGATACAGTGTATGCTTACTTCACCCTGCATGCTCTGTGAAGAAAGGGTTTTTGTGAATAAGGGGCGATCACAGCCTATAGGTGGGTACTTAACTATGTTAATGACTAAGCACTAAGCTCAAGCAGACTTCTTCTTTGGCTTTAGTAACCGTTTCATTTCCTTTGTATTTTGATTTAGTGTCCTCTTGTTCTTATTTCTTGGCCCACAGCTCTTTGTTCCTGGAGCTTTGGTTATTCTGCTGTTTTTCAAAAGTTCTTTTATTTCACCTGTACTATACTTCAGTGAATTTTCAACCCTCTCAAGGTATTTTATTTCAATACCGGCACATACCTTGCCATTGTACAGACTCCGTTCATCCTTTCTGTGATCTAGTATTCACTGGGAAGAAATTTGGTATGTGATTTTCCTAACCTGCCTGATAAAAAGTCCGGGATTTACATGTACAATGAGGAGCATTTCCAATGTACAGTTGTGATAGCCCCAAACACAACCTCTAGACCTAGAATTTATCTAGTATAAATGTACTCAAAAAACCCTGAAGTGTGAGAATTAAAGGCCTATGTAAAAAAGAGATTCTGAGAGCTGAAAATTTGTGAAATGCATAACTGTGATCCAAAAGTAAAGTCTATTGTACTATATTATCTATAAAAAACAGGCAGCATACATCAGAAGCCTGGATAAAAATAGTAGAAGGGAGCATCGTTCTCCTCCTCCTCACTGCATGAGGAAACACAGTTGGTTCAGTAAGAGCAGGCTGGAGAAAGCCAAAACAAAAATAATATCATGACAATGGAATTAATATGTGCTGCAGTGTACAATTATATATGTGCAAGATTTACAAGAGAGAAACAAAAACAGAACCTAAGAATAGTAGGGGGAAAAAACCCCCATTGTCCTTCCTGCCAGTAAACAACCATGTGAAGAAGTGTTAATTCAGATTAGAAATGCTTGTGCCTCGCAGAGTTTGTTGTTTGTAACCCAGCTTCCTTTACACCTATGTTTAAAATGTTTTGTTTGGTTTTTTTCACTAGTCTCCATGATAGAAATCTTAGGGTGTGGTACATCATATTTTTTTCCCTATTTTCCTCAGAAGAATACACCTCATGAATGCTAAGACTGGATATGATTTTTATGGTGGCAGCAAAAGATTAGTCACCAGAACTTGAGAATCTTAAAGAAAGAGCTGATAAGTATAAATACTCTAAGCAATAAAGCAGTTTTAGCTGAATGTCTTTAATCAGCCTCTTCAAAACAATTTCATGTTACTCATGAAATAAAGTATATGCCAATACTAACCTAATTTGGACATATTGAATATTCTGTTACAAATAGAACAAGTAACAGCACAGTCTGTGTTCACTTGTCTTCATTAGACCTCTTCTCCAAATGAAAAGGATTAATATGCTTTGCTGTAGTTATAGACTTTTAATAAGTGTTGTGCACTATCATATCGTGTTTACCTAAGAAAGGTGTTTGTCATTCTGTCCCAGGACTCTTTTTTTCCCCAAGTCTTTTTTCTTCAGATGGTGCAAGTTTGCAATAAATTGAATGGAAACTGTTAGTTGCATTTTCAGATTTCTGTACCCATAAATCTACTTGATGACATTTGTGTGTCACACTGGTACATGAGCTTTTGGTATGTTCCTAGCAGACGTTTCAGTACTGGTGGAAACCTGACATAAATGACAATATCTCCTTGTGGGAGTGCCATTCCACTTAGATATCAGATAATTCAGTGTGATGGCCTGATTACTGTGAAGATGCATCATATAATCAGTCACTAGATAGAAGAGATTGACAAATGTAGTTTGATTTGACAGTGTATGTGACTGCACACTTGCTGAGTACATCAACTTGAGCCCCACAGGGGAGGAACAAAACTCACTTCCCTTTCCAAGAATGTCTTTATGGAGAGAATGAGTGTCATACCACTGAAAATAACTTCTCCTCATGTCTGAATGTAAAACCTTAATAGGTAAAATTCGAAGCTATACCAATCCACTGAATTATTACATTTATTACTGAACAATAGCTTCAATTTTTTGGTAAAATTATGAGATTCACCTCTAGGTAAAGATTCTTAAAATCCACTGTTACTCACGACAAGAAGCAGTGCACTTTTTCAACAAGATGTTGGGCAAGGGATTGAGAAAAGCTGAAAAGTCTGACTTGTAACAACACATGTGCTGCTTGCATTGTCCCTGCCTCAGTGTTCACACACACTAGACGGAGGCAATCTGAAGGCAGCAGGGAAGAGGAGGTGAGACAGCATTAAGATGGCCAGTCCCAGGCTGGTGTGATGGAGCTTCAGACTGGATGGGAGACCAGCTCTTGCAGGGGCCCATGGAGAGAGCCTGAGGCAAGTAGGGGAGCAGAGAAAGAAAGATCTCATCCCAACAGCACTGATAAAAAGCTCACCACCAGCACCCCAGTGCCCCACAAACAGCACAAGGGGCCAGGGCTCGCCTACAGCCACATGTAAGACCTGATCAAATCTGGTTTCCTAGCAGCTCTACTTATCAGCAGCTGGTGTAGAGCTAATTGTACCAATCCTGCAGGTGTGGATAATAAAGTCACAGCCTAGGCGCTCGCTGCTAGAGTGAGCCCAGTATTTGGGCTGCCAAGTGTCGCAGCAATGCATACTTACTCTGGGGAGTCTCTCGTTTGGCTGTAAGATGCAGCTGGTAAGCAGACCAAGAGCATTACCCTTATTCAGCTGCTATATCCATGAGTGACAGAGGCCCTCTGTTGGTGCGCAATACCTTGAATCAGTAAATAAAATGCCCCGCTATGCTTGCTGACCAGACTGAGCCGTGAGAACAAAAAGCTATAATCAAGAAAATCAGATTAATAAAGCTGATGAATCTGTGGGAACAAGGGACTATTTCTGAAGACCAGCCTATCACACACCTTAGTTTTAAGTTGTTGTTGTTCAAATGATGGGGTCAAGTTTTATGGGAGCATGTTTCAGAACCAGCAACAGGTTTGAAACTGTTTCCCCTATTCTTATAGTGTGATATTAGGAAAGGTTTTAGAGTCTCCAGTGGGTTCAATAACATATAACAAGCAACAAACAACGAAACAGGCTTCATAAAGAAATATTTTAAATGTCTGTTAATTTTAGTATGTAGACTGATTAGGAATTATACATTGAAAAATTAATTTGATACAATACCTTGTTTGAGAATTATAGGAATTCATTATAAAAGTGGAATCTTTTTGCCCGAAAAGTTTAGCAGTAATTGGGAGCTTGTTTTAGGTGTAGTGGAAACATTTTCAGAGGCAGCTCTTTCCACTGACTGTGTAGGGGGTCTAATGTAGTCCATCGAGCAAGGTAGTGTGAATATACCCTTAGAATACCCTACAGGGGTCATTAGCTTTGACCCTGCGACTCCAGCCTTTAAAGAACTCATTGGAACAGCTAATCTATTTGTCCTATGGAATAAAAATTAATCCCTCATGCAAAGAAGGGTTGACAAGGAAAATAGGGTGAGCTTGTAACTTTCTTACTGTCTCCCCCCAAAATCTAACTCGGAAACTGTGATTCCCTTGACTTCTGTTAAGGAATAGCAGCATCCAAAGAAAGACATCTCCACTGTGCTTTTGGCATTTTAAAATCTTTTAAGGATACTAAGAACTGAGTGCAGAAAAGACATCCCTTTAGTGCTTTCAATAGGTTGATAGAACCCTCCAAAGAGATGTCAAGGGGAAGAGGGGGTATCTTCTCAGGGTTCTTTCTCAGGGGCTCTCAAGTATCTGGTAAGGCACAATCTTTTTCTTGCTTTTTGTGTATCTTTCCTACCTCCTGTGTGGTTTCTTTGATGTCCAAGAAGGATCTAAAAATCTGCTCACTGTGCAGCTTCAGTTTAACTCTGAAAATCACCAGAATCAGACACAAGGAAAGAAAGTGACATGAAATCAGATTTTATCAGGCTTTTTTGAAACTTAATTCCAAAAACTAAGCAACAGTTGCTGTTTTAAAAGGTCAAACTCACTATGTAGACTAAGTCATGGTCTTACGAGAGGGATTAAAATAAAAAACACTGTACAGAAGGCCAGGTTAAAGAAAAATAGAATCAGTCAAATTTCTCAAAATATAAGGACTGCAACTCAGACCAAGACAAAGAAAGCGCAGGTAATTCTGAATAGAAGCATGAACTTTATTTAAAAGTTCCACTTTTTGTTAAGGGACAGAAAAACATAAATGAAATTTAATGATTAAAAATGTAAAGGGATGAACTTTATGTAAACTGTTTTTGATCAAAGACATTAGCTAAAAGAAAAAGTAATGAAATAAACCCCTTTTTCTAGAATTACAGCTGTGGGTTGTGAAACTTTGAGTTCAGCTCCTTGGAGGATCCTCTACAATTTCAACATCTCTGCACATCTCGCAGAGCTAGAAAAGTAACATCTGATGACCCATTTTTAGAAAAAAGAGAACCAGAGAACTGCTCCTTCATTTTTTTTAAATGAAAACAGATTTTTTTTTGCTAGAAGTTTTCAAACCGATACATCCTTCTTCACGCAGGAAGAGGTGTTTTTGACCTTCGTCTTGTGACTGATAAATCAGTTTAGCATTACTTCTGTTGTAATAATACAAGACATCACTTGCTCTGTAAGATATATGGTAAGTAATTTTTGCCTCTTTTTTTCTTTTTTCCTTTTATTTTTTTTTATTTAACTTTAGTAGCTGTTTAGGTAGTTTGAAGCCTGAAGTGAAAAATACTAGTGGAATCTTGCCAGTGTATTCATCTTTAAAAATTACCCTGGGGAAATGCATAGGATATGTTAAATGGAATACACTATTTTTTAAGGGCAAAATCACTGGAAGACTTGAGCGCATTGACCCAGGTAAGCCAAGAAATAAATATCTAGAGATTGAGCTGAGTAAGAAGTATAATGGAGTGTGCCTCTGATTTTTTTCCCTGAAAATGATGTGCAATGTTGGAAACACAGATTTTAAAACTGTTACAGCAAGATAAAACAGCATATTTGAGTCAAGAGTACTTATTCTTCTCCTAGGATGACTACAGAAAATCCAGTGTTGTATTTTAGACACTCTGACTCATGGATCCTGTTTACATGCAGCATAGCTTAGCATTTTACCTCCAATTGCTACAGCTTTATAATTATTATCATTTTATAGCACTATGCAAATTAACTGAAACTCTCTTTAATAAAATCTTTGCCTCTTTTAAAACAGAAAGCTCTGACCTGAAACTCAGCACAAAACAGTGACATGAGTTTGCTCATCTTTTCTATGGTGAGCCTTTCTCTTGAAAACTGCATGTCTGCTAGTCTCAAGCAGAGCAACAGAGACTAGCAGATTCATACAGCAGATTGTGGGGTTCTAGAAATATTGCATTTATCTAAACTGTATTCAAAATAATATAGACCTCTTTTTGAAATATCTTTTCTTCAGAGATTTTCATGGACTATATTTTGGGGTTTTTTTAATGGTCAGGAAACAAAAGCCCAGTCAGATCCCTCTAGTTAGATAAGCAACCTAGGCTGATTAACCCAGTGAAGCATTCTAGCCAGTGGCCAACATTGTTTCCTAAACCATCAAGATGATAGGATAAAGCACAAACCCACTTACAGTTCCTTTTTCTGGTTTCCAAATTAGTATCCTCAGTTTCCATTGTCAGCATGTGCTGGATAGTATACACAAATCAGAGTAGCAAGTACTTTTGCAGAGAGGCTTCTGAAGCAAAGGCTAGGCTAGAGGAATAGGGCTCGAGTAGCAGAAGGAACCTCTCAGAGGGGAGACTACAATTTAAGCGCGCAAAGAGAGTTGTAAAGGAGAAGATAAGATGCAGGGAAGATGCAGCTGTCATTCCAATAGAGCCAATGAAAAGGAGGCATGGCATTGAGACAGCAGTTAGCAGGAAGAAGGGGCTGTTGCAAAAAGAATTATCACAGTAATATCAAGGCAGCATTTTGCAATGATATTTGCATGAAACCTATCAATCACATACTCATAAAATCCCACTCTGGGCTTATGACTAAGGTGTTTTTCATACCCATTTTTATTCATGAGCATCCCGCTGGTGCAAAATGAGAAAGACAGGAAGTGGTGGATCTGGCACTGTGTAGCAGCCAGTCCCTCACCCCATAATGCCAGTAGACACTATAGCTACTGGCACATAGTAAATGAGGATATTTAGCTACATGTAGTAGCAGGGACATACTGTCAGGGCATACAACATGGATCTAGCAGGTCTAGCTGAAGGGAATATTAAATATTTACATGGTGCTCAAGTCTCATCATATTTTGAAATAAAGAAGTTAATGTTTTGGGCCAAATAGTGTTTTATAAAGGTGCCTTTTTTAAAAAAACAAAAAGTGTTGCTGAAAGCATTTAAGAAATATAAGCCCTTAGATACTTTAAAATCAACTTACTTACTGGCAACAGACTGGAGCCACAGCCACTTCCTTTACCAACAAAACCATTATCTCTGTATTGTAATAACTATGTAGTTAGTATGGCTGTGGAAAAAAACTGTTTCACAGAGATTGCCAGTGTTTTCTAAAGGTGGTCTTTGTGGAACTTGAAGAAACTTATTTTCTCCAAGAAGTTGATTGTGGGCAAAGCTGAGATCCTAACTGTTACAATTTGCTGATTTTCTCTTATTCCTTTTTCTCCAGAAGAAAAGTTTACACCATACTCAGCATGCCAAACTACTGTCTGAATATGGATGTCCTCATTCTTATTATTGTATGGATCAGAGTTAACAGCCAGACTCAAGAAGAACTTGGGGAAGGAGGTTTGCGAAAGCAACACTTTTTGTTTACAAGGTGCAGATTTTGCTCCAATAGAGCTTCCTCTTTTTGAGCAGATACATGTCTGCACTGTATAGCATAAGAATCTCCATCAGGAGTTGGCAGCAGAACATCATTTGTAAGATTACAGGGAAATGAAAAAAGACCTATCAAAGAGCCCTTTTCCCAAGACATCAGCTTAGGTTTAGCTAAATTAACCACTTTTACACAGATTAAGGACATTAGCATGCTAAGTGATCAGTTTTTACAGCAGAAAATAGTCCTTTCTCCTGAACAGTTTTGTCAACAGACACAAAGAGATGCTTTGGGGATTTCACAGGCTCTAAGTCAGAATGGCCCACCATCAGCTTCTATGAAAAAGCAGACCAGAGGCCTGTCTCTGTGTCATTCCAGCCACAGGCTGAGTTTCTTCAGTTACATTTAGTCTTGCAGAACTTGGGTGCAGAGAGAATGAAGTCGTGGTTTTGAGAGTGTGGTGTCTGTAAAAGACATCTGCAATCACACAGGGTAGACCACACCATTGAAAAATTGCATTCAGGAAAGAAGCAAACACTGCTGTGGGGCATGAGTGGTCAGGGATCACACAGCAAGCTGGGGCAGGGGCCCTGCCTGGTTTTCTGTGTCAGGAGCAGTCTGTTGCCTTTGTCTAAGAACAGGCATCAAATTGACAGGAAGGTCTCATTTCAAAACCATCAGCCTGCCATGGGCAGTCACCATTCTGCCATGAAGTGCCTGAGAAAAGCAGTCATGATGGTACAGCAAGAAAGAGCAGCCCTTTAACCAGACAGCAAGTAGCTCTATTTGAGTGGCTACCAAAGGCATTGATTTCACTTCCCCACTAAGGGACCAGGGAGCACATTTGGCCGCTCTGACACTCATCTTCACAAAATCCACTTCCCAGCTTCTCATGGGACACACGGGAATTCTTCCATGTTCTCTGGAGGTCTGTGAGAAGACTGTTCTCCTCAACTTTTCAGAGACCAAGTTACACAAAGATAGCTATGCTTCTGTGTGTGGCTCAAAGTCCTACTTGGGTCTTGGGAAAGGGGGAGGCTCTGGTGACTAGAGAGGTTGATGTCAAAGTCACAAGGCTTTGTCTGCTCCTATTGTAACAGAACTGGCCTGAGGGCTTTCAGAGTTCTGCTGCACACTCACCTCCCAGGCCCTGGCTCCTTCTTGCAAGGGAAGCTCAGTACCTACAACAGTCCCCTCAACAGTCCCCAAACCAAAAGCAGCCACGGCTCTGAATATATTCATCATTCCTCTGCTTCTGGTTGAGTCAGGCAGCTGACAGGCTATACTAAGAAGGAAAAAAGCACCAGGTAGTGTACATGTGGGAAGTGACACACAACACTTCCAACATGCAGCAATGTGATTTCACAGATGTATAGATGGGTTTCCTGGGAGCTCTTTCACACCTGAATGTAGTAATGTTTGTGTCCTCACCAGCAACACATTCTAAATGAGAACATCAAAATGTTTCATTCTCCTCACTGCCAAGCTTGGAGATTCCTCTGGTTTACCATCCTCTTCTCCCTTTCCAGACCAAAACACCATGGGAAATGATACAACAGACTTCAGCGACTTGCCATATACAACAGAATTCGACTACAGTGATTCCACACCTTGTCCTGGAACTGAGGAAAAGCACTTTGCAGCAAAACTTTTGCCACCACTTTATTCTTTAGTAGTGATATTTGGCCTGACAGGCAACATGCTTGTTATCCTTATCCTGGTAAAATATAAGAGGTTGAAGAGTATGACTGACATCTACCTGCTCAACTTGGCAGTTTCCGATCTGCTGTTTGTATTTTCTCTCCCTTTTTGGGCTTATTACGCAGTTCACGACTGGATTTTTGGGGAGGCACTGTGTCGAATTCTCTCAGGTGTCTACCTCCTTGGCTTCTACAGTGGCATCTTTTTCATAATCCTGTTGACTCTGGACAGGTACCTGGCCATAGTGCACGCGGTGTTTGCTTTAAAAGCCAGGACAGTTGCTTACGGCACCCTCACCAGCATCATCACCTGGGCTGTTGCTGTTTTAGCTTCTGTTCCTGGGATAGTATTTCACAAAACTCAGGAGGAAAGCTCAGGCTACACTTGCAGCGCTCATTATCCACCAGAGAAGAGAGATGTATGGAAGCAGTTCCTGACTTTAAAGATGAACATTCTGGGACTTCTTATTCCAATGTTAATTATGATTTGTAGCTACACACAAATTATAAAGACATTACTGCAATGTAGGAATGAGAAGAAACATAAAGCAGTCAGGCTTATTTTCATTATCATGATTATCTACTTTTTTTTCTGGGCACCATACAACATTTGCATTCTCCTGCGTGACTTTCAAGTTGCGTTTTCCATCACTACTTGTGAAGGCAATAGTCAACTGCACAAAGCAATCCAGGTGACAGAAACAATCTCAATGATCCACTGTTGTATCAACCCTGTGATTTATGCCTTTGTTGGAGAAAAATTTAGGAAGTATCTTCACAGCTTTTTCCGAAAGCAGATTGCATCCCGCTTCTCTAAATACTGTCCTGTTTTCTATGTTGACACAGCTGAGAGAGCTAGCTCCACCTACACTCAGTCTACTGGAGAACAAGAGGTTTCTGCTGCATTGTAAATTGTGTCTAGTGAAAGACTGGAATTGACTCTTGTGAAATCAAGTCTGTCGTGAAATCCTCCAAAATCTGTCCTGGATATTGGCTCTAAGGCAGTTGCAAAAAAATCAAAGAATACATACCAAAGCTTGCATTTGCTAATAGATTTGGGTATTTGTAAATAAATGAAAAGGATGTATCAACTTAGCTACTTAGGTACGCAAATGTGGGATTCTTTAGGGAAAAAAGTGTTCTCTTTGTGAATGTAAAATTATAGTTTCATACAAAGAAAACCACACAAAGATTGAGGGCCTGAGCTAGCAGTCTCATAAACTGATTTTTTGAAGTGGACTAGTGGTTAGAAATTTACACTGGTTCTTTGGAAACATGTCTTGACTGTATGTTACACAAGATACCTCACTCAAGTCAATCTCAGTCACATTTTTTACTAGTTGTGTATCTCTGTAAATAATGCTAAATTACTGAGGTCTATGATACAGAATCTTTATGAGTGGTATAGAAAATTTCATACACTTAGAACAAACTTTGATATTTCAAGGTGTATTTTCCTTTGTGTATGGTTGAGTACTAGCCTCAGATCTTTCTCTATCTAGTAGGGATGGATAACTGAGTGACTTTGATATTTCAGAAGGCACTCTTTTAATCATCTGCTGGTTTATACGCTATTCATACTAAAAAAGCTAACATAATGTCCTATCATTGATCAGAAAATCAGTGTGGTAACCATATTTTAAAAATAAAGTATTGCACATGGAGCTTTAACCAGGTTAAATGACTCAAAAGGGTTTTAGCTTTTTAGTGCAGTGATTTTGCTTGCCATTTTTCTAGCCTACATAACAGAAAAACTTTAAAATAAGAAATTAATGCAGTCGCAATGGCTGCAAAACCACAACAGCATTAGAGGTGTGAAAATGATTCCTGAACAGGGTTGACACAGATGTTTTTAGAGATATAAGCATATGTTATAATCATTTATCAAAACATCTGAATAAGTAAAAATATTCCCTGTTCTACAGATTCAAGGGCATAGAGAATCTCTTTTTTGTTTCAGAAGCAAGTATCATTTGGGGGTTATGACAATGTTTTTTTCCTGCCATTTAGGAGTTTCATGGAGTGTAAAAACTTCCATAACTAATGGTTAAATATGACGGATTCTCCATAAAGCTCAGAACCTGTAAATAATGTGAATACATAGAAAATATAAAATAAATATGGGGCTACTCAAGTGCTTAAGAACATACTATAATCATGCTATTAATTGATTTCAGCCATACCATAATCATGCTATTAATTGATTTTGGCCAAGTTCTCCTTTCTAGCATTTCTTATATTTCCCCTAACACATATGGTATTGGACAAGTTTGGAGACAGGAAATTAAAAGTGAATGTTTGTTTGCTGTTCTTATCCAGCAAGGTAATTTCTGATTCCCAACTTCTCTAAACCACCTTTTAAATAATTTTCAAATAAATAAAAGTTTCAAACTGTCCCAGAGAGATTTTAAAGTGCCAAGTGCTTGTGAAAACAGGAAGTGAAATAGAGAAAACTTCCTTATCAAACCAATTGTTTTGAATTATTCAATTTTGTCATATTAACCACCCCTTTTGAATTATACCCTTATGGGAAGTGTAACAGAAGTATACCACACCTTCTAATTTACAAGATCTTCAGCTGCATACTCTTCTTAAAGACCCTGTGCATCAATTACTTTTGTATATGGTTTTAAAATGGGTAAATATATCAGCATAAGCAGAAATTGGGCAATTTCAGCGTATAATGACATACGCATTTATTTTTAAAAGAAATATGAAGCTACATGCAGGAACTTCCAGAGTGGCTGCCTTTTTTTTTTTTTTTACTTATAAAATGACTTTATGAAAACAATTTTATGTTTTATTCTGCTCTTGACAAGAACTTTCATTTGGCCTTTTCTTTCTCTGGAGGGCTCTGATGCCAGACAGGATATGTATCTTCACCATCCCCGCAGGAAAAAAGTGCAACAACCAAACATGCTTGAACACGCTGACAAGCTGTCTGAGAGGAATGTGAAAAAGCAGCCCTGTTCCTTTGCAGTGTTCTCTTATACATCATGGATCTTTCCAAGCAACAAGCAGCTTCCAGAGGAAAGAAGTGGGACTTTGAGATTGGTGGATCAGCACCTTTCCAAGAGTTTCTATTCCTTCACTCAGAAGGCACCACATTTCAGCAAATGAAATCAAACCAGATTTCAGCAGTAAACTGTGATCCACATTCAAGGAGATAATTGAAAACACAGCATTTGATAGCACTGCTGGTACATTCAATTAAGGACTCTGCCAATAACTGTAATAATATTTTGTATTATACAATCCATTAAAGTTGGTTAACTTTTGTGAGTTTGACTTCTTGATCCTTTTACCACCACCACCAACAACCCCCCCCCCTTTCTCCTTACTTTTTAGAATAGCCCAGAAGACTGAAAAAGGAAGTTAAATTCCTATACATAACACTGAAAGAGCAGGTAGGACAAATTCAGTTTTAAAAGTGGACTAAGAATCAGCATCATCAAATAACACGGGACCATCTTATCACTAATAATCTAATAATAAGTATGTTATTTTGGTTGTCATTATACTCAGTTCTGTTTACCTTTGTTTTACAGATGGGAAAATCATTATCTCACACAATTCACACCAGTCCTAGGTGACTAATATTAAGTGTTTTTAAAAGACATAAGCACACAGAAAAATTTTGTTGTGTTTAGTGATGGAAAGGCTAACATCTAACAATTACAGTGGACTTGTGCACACACTTCCCTTCAGTTCATAAGATTACAGTGCCATCATGTGGCCTCACTGTAAGGTTTCAATCTAACAAACATGCACTGCCCCATCAGAGCTTTTGGTGCTTTCCTCTTTTGAAACCTTTTTAATGAGGAATTTCTTCACAGAAGGGGTGATTAGACACTGGAATGGACTGCCCAGGGAGGTGGTGGAGTCACTGTCCCTGGAGGTGTTTAAGGAAAGACTGGATGTGGCACTTAATGCCATGGTCTAGTTGACATGGTGCTGTTCAGTCATAGGTAGGACACAATGATCTTGGAGGCCTTTTCCAACCTAATTGATTCTGTGATTCTGTGATTTATTTTCTTAAGAGGATCTTCTAATGGAATGACTCCTCCCACTATGGGCATTATCAGTATCATGCAAACAGCAGCAAGCCTTAGAGAATGTTTGTGGCCACTAAGAATGGAATGGAGGTCCACTGGATGCGTGGGCCAGGTGACCCTTTAAATGACACTCTTTAATGACGCAGGCAGATGCTACAGTGTGATGTGGGAGTAGTGACACTTATTTTAGTTCCTGAGCAAGTTCCAGGTTCCAGCCACCTGCTCTGGAGGGAGAGCATTTGACATTCTTGCCCAGAGCTTGGAAGCTACATGAATGTAAGTGAAGTGCAAGGTCCTACGCATGGGTTGGGTTGTGGCAATCCCAGACACGCCTACATATTGGACGGAGAAGTGATTAAGAGCAGCCCTGTGCAGAAGGACTTGGAGGTGATGGTTGATGAAAAACTCAACATGAGCCGGCAATGTGCGCTCACAGCCCATAAAGCCAACCAAATCCTGGGTTGCATCAAAAGGAGCATGGCCAGCAGGGCGAGGGAGGTGATTTGCCCCCTCTATTCTGCTCTCATGAGAACCCACATGGAGTACTGAGTACAGTTCTGCTGTCCACAACATAAGAAGAACATGGAACTGTTGGAGCAAGTCCAGAGGAGGGCCATGAAGTTGATAACGGGACTGGACTCCCCAGTGAAGACAGGGTCAGAAAGCTGGGGCTGTTCAGCGTGGAGAAGAGAAGGCTGAATGGAGACCTCACAGCAACCTTCCAGTATCTGCTGGGAAGCTGGAGAGGAACTCTTTGTCAGGAATTGCAGTGACAGGAGAAGGAGTAATGGGTACAGATTGAAAAAGGGTCATTTAGGCTAGATATTAGGACGAAATTCTTTACTGTGAGGGTGGAGGGACACTGGAATAGGACGCACACCTGGCAGTGCTCATGGTCAGGCTGGATAAAGGCCTTGAGCAACCTGGTCTAGTGGGACGTGTCCTCACCCATGGCAGGGGTGCTTGTGACTAGATGATCTGTAAGGCCCATTCCGACTCCTTATCCCCCTATGACTCCACAGGTATTTTCTCCTCCCGTCCTTCCCCTCGGCCACACGCACCCTCGGGGGATCCCTTCCCCCGCGCCCCCTGCGGGGGGGCCGCGCGCACGTAACGGCCGCTCCCGCTCCGCCCACACCGTCCGAAGGCCACGCCCTCTTCCTCTTCGGCCCCGCCCCCGGCCGGGTAACTCCGCGGAACCATCGCCCCGCCCACACCGCGCAGGCCCCGCCCTCCTCCCCGCCCTTGCCGTGCCGGCCCCGCCCCCGCGCCTGCGCAGTGCGAGCACCATCGCTTTCCCGCCCGTGGCGGAGGCGCCAGTCGGCGGGTGAGGGGTTGGGGGGGGGGTGCGGCCGCGGCCGCGGCGGGGGTCTGTGGGGGCACCGGGCGCGGCCGCGGCGGGGGTCTGTGGGGGCACCGGGCGCG